ATCTTCTCTCCAACAAGCGACATACGGAACAAATCAAAACACCTTGAATACCTTGCCAGAGAGATGAGTCTAGAAAAAAACATAGACAAAACTTGCACAATAAAGATAAACTGCATTAGCACAGCCGGTCAACCAGCTCAACAGCCCAAAAATCAGCTTTTGCTGCTTGAACTGCATTATAATACCCGATGTTGGGGCCCATATAGATGTAGACAACAGATTGAAGAAAGCAACTGCAGTGTTTAATAGACCACAACCGATATGAGGAAGCGGCCTAATATTTAAACAGACTAAGCTTCGGATATTCCGGTGCTGTGTAAAATTGGTTCCGTCAAAATCCGTTCACGACAAATTGCAGGAATTTATCAATAGATGACTCAAAATAATATGCACAATATTCGAATAAGCGACTGAGACCCTTGGATAATATCAAGCGAGGAGTCTATCGGTAGACAAATAAGGAGAAGAAAGTGGAAATGTACTGGACACACCCTTACAAACCCCCAAATAATATCGCAATAATCTTGGAATGAGACCCACAATATTCAAAAAGATCCAGACGCCACAGGAACGCTTGGTATATATCTGTAAATTCAGAACTAAAAAAATCAGATCTAACATATAGGGTCAAGCAAAAAATAGAACGAGGTGAAGATGTAAAGTAGAAGTCCTATGCTCGCAAGAGGAGCAAAGAAAAAGAAATTGCAAATGGTTAATTTGAGATTAAAAACAAAAAGAGCTTGGGAATTGTATTGGAGACTTTCCTAGAACATACATGCATAGTCAAATTTTTGACAATTGTTCCAAAATATTGTAACTACTTTGGATATAAACACTGTCATCAGCTTTTTATGAAACACTTAATACAACTTCCAAAAAAAAAACTAAATAAATTACATATTTGTTGTTCATCTCTTAAGCAAAATATGAGAAAAGAGGAAAGTAAGAAGTGGAAAAAAAGGAAGAAAAAATAATAATTCTTAAGACTACAACTTAGACTGGAAAAGAACAAAATAAAAAAAAAACGAAAAAAGAGCAAAGCATGAAATTGAAAGTGACATTGAAAGAACGTTGTTTTTAATTTTGTGCTGTTTTTAGAAAATTTGAGTAGAAAAAAAGAAAAAAAATAGAAAAAATAAAATAAATAAATAATTTTTTTTTTGATTAAATGCGACACGCACATTTTAATATTTTTTTTTGTTTCATTTTTAAAATTTTTCTACTGTCATACTGTTGTCATATTTAATGATTATCAATTAAAAAATAAACATAGAACATTTTCATTATGACAATCGTTGATCGTATTAATGTATATGTGTGTATATATATATGTATATAATATTAGTAAATCTTAACAATCTCAAATCTTTGATTTTCGTTTAATTACAAGCTTAAAAAAAAATTAAATTTTAAACATCCGTGATAAATATAAATAAGGGCTTAGTTTAAGTACACACATTTTTATTTAAGTATACCTAGTTACACACGATTACATAACGTACCTGTAGCATGGATATGAATATAAAAATTCGAACTAAATAATTCAAGATTTTAATTGAAACTTAAGAAGATTTAAGAATTCTCAAATTAAATTGCTTAAAAAAAATAAAAATATGTATTGTAAGAAGAAGCAGAGAATAATACACATATAATCTCATTAAAAATCTATTTGATTACTTTGAAATTTATAGTTATGTATGTATGTTGCATTATAATCCGATATTGAGACAATCAACGATTTCGGGGATGTGAATAAATTTTTGCTTATTTCGAGATCCCCTCTTATGAAATGATGCTGAAAAATTTTATTTTGCTCGTTAGTTTGGTTAAAAATTTTAATATTTTTCTTCTTTGAATTTAAAATCTAAGGTAAAATAATTAAAATTTTGTCAATTATTACAGAATTAAATTTGATAACTAATATAATAATTGTGGAAATTGTAAAAACTAAGGTACAAAAAATAATCGTACCTTTTTTAATTAGAAATATAAAATTTTATCGATTTAAATTCTAACTAAAATTAAATTATTAATAATTACTTAAATGACCTATGTTTAATTCAAATTACCATAATTACTATGCTACCTTCCACAAAAGTTTGATGAACTTTCCTTGAATTAATTTTAATTTTGTATTTTTTTCTAATTACAGATTTTTATATTGCTTTTTTTCTATCAAATATTTGAAAATAAGTCAATATCCTTTTAATATACTGTGAAGGACATTCAAGAAATTGTTCTTGTTTTGTTTATAAATTCGTTTTTGTATAAAATTAGTAGTGGTAAAAATGCAATAATTTTATATTACGAAATTGATATAAAAAAGTGTATGGCTTTGGAAATTATGGTAAAAAGTAATTTCGTATTTGAAATTGACAATATTTTCTTTACGCATAATTTCGTTCACTTGTTGATTCAATTAATCTCTTTTATGATTAGGTAATTCAAAAATTTTTAAATTTTAATGAGAAAGTTTCCAAAAATTAATATGCCAAAAATCTAAATTTAAATCAATTTAAATTGATGATGCTTATAATAGGCGGTAAAATTTCAGTTACTTAAATATCATTAAATGACATTTAATGACAATTATTTTATATTTATGTCATTTCGTACATTTAAAATGCTACTTTTATTTGGTTGTCCAAATAAAAGTAGCATTTGATCCTATGATTTTTAAAGGCAGTATTAATTTTTTTTACAATGCAAGTATTTTGGTTATTTATTTCTTTTTAATACACATGTCATATTGAATAGGCGCCTAAAATTATGCATTTTTTTCTAGTTTTCTTATAATTAAGCAATGATTTTTACTCAAATTATATTTTATTTGTAAATATTTCTACTCTAATTTCATAATAGACGAACACAATTAACAATATTTACAATTCATTTTATATTTTTTATAAAATTTCATTAAAAAGATATTTTGACATGTATATATATATTTATACAACAGAGCTTTTTTTTTATAACATAGAAAACGTAGGTAGTTATCCTTTTTTCTATTTTTGTATTTTATTCAAACTGGATTTTCATGTTTTCGTACAGAATATGTCAAAAAATTGTCACAAAAATTTGTTTTTATCATTTCATATATATTCAAAGAGTAACTGTATATGTCCATGAATGTACATACATGTATTTATATTATGTACATGAGCATTACGGTTTTGTATGTTTGTACACATTTGTAACATCAATAATTTTTTGTGTAAATTGAAAAGTGTGTATCTTAAATCGATAAATAATATAGACTGTATTGTAAATTTATTTTATTATACATTTTATGGGAATGGTTTTTGTTAAATAATAATATAAAGGATTTTAACATTTAGAGTAGAGGATAAATATTTTATACATTTAATGTACACGTGTAATAAATATTGCTGTGTAAATCTTTTTATCCCATGGGAAAAAAATAATAAAAAAAGATAAGTATAATTAAATATTGCGTCTATCAAATTACTTATTATGAGTGTATATGTACGTAGGCATATATTTGTATTTTCTGTAATTTATTTGTAATTTAAGTAACTAATTACATATGTATTTGGTTGTAAATAATTATTTTGATATTTTGTATTATATTGCTTCTTTTAAAATATATAAAGCTTAGGAGATCTCTTTTGAATTTGTCGTAACTTTGTACTGAAATAATAAGAGTTGGAGCAAATTGTTGTTTAGAATAGATTTGCGTCTTTATAATTAACACGAGTTTGAAGTTTGAATTAGAAGAACAAGAGGTTTGGTACGAAATTAATAAGTTCTTTTTACTTTTTCCATTTTCTATTTGGGAGCATTTGACGTTAGTCAAGCGTCAGTCTCAAGTCATATTGACAGTTAACGAGGCCGTGACCAACCTGCCGGGGTTTTTTCCCTTTATATTATATGTTGACGATTATTGATATTTATTGTTTATTTTTGTTACTATACAATATTTGTTACTTTTTGATTAAAGGACCAATGCTGTAACCACTGCGCCATTGCTCAGATAAGTTCTTTTTATATCTAGTAAAAATTTCACTGATCTCATTAGTAATCTTTCAAACTAAATTTAAAATAGTAATCGAAACGTGATCTATTTGTTTTGTTATAATTTTTTAAAAATTTTGAATATAAGCTGTTTGACAGCAAGTGGATTTGCAACCCATTGTAAATGAGGGCCGGATGCGAGTTATTTTGTGCCCACTGCTATAAAACGGCGAATGGTTTTTTTAATTCGGCCCATAATTCTCCGGCGATTGCATTTGCCTTATACGGAGCGATATTAGTTGTTCTTATTTCGAAAGTAAAATTTTTTATAGCACAAACAATTTAATTTTAAATAATATTAAAATTGAATTAGTAAAAAAGATCAATAATTTTCCCATTATTTTTTTAATTATTTTAAAATGAAAACACCATACATGTGTATGTCTATGAAATTGTTAGGTTAGGTTTACTTTCATATATATTGTGTCCGTTCTATTATGAGTATGTGTTGTGTATTACTGTCATTTATGATTAATTATATGACAAGTTATGAATAATATATTTAATCAAATACATATAAATATCCTAGAAAATTTGATACTTATAAAATGAAAATTAAAATTGAAAAAGAAACATTTCAGTTAGGATTTTATTGCTTAATAAAATTGTGAACCTTAAAAATGTAAATTTAATTATAAAATTAAAAAAAAATAATAATAAAAACCTTTAGAAGAAATCGGCATTTTTGAGAGCACAAATTTTTCAAACTATAACAATAATGGGAATGAAATCTTTAAAAATTAACAATAAATTTATTAATCCAAAAATTTATTTTTTGATTTTTCAGTATTAAATATATTTAAATTTTAAATTTAAATCAAAATGTGACATTTTAAAACGAAAAAAATTCAAAATAAAATTAAAAAAATTTTTAAAATATCCTGTGCTTTCTTTTAAAGAGACACGATATTTTTTTTATAAACAAACAACAAGAAGAATTGTAGAATTAAGAAAAAGAATTATTAAAAATTTGATTAATAGGGGGGAAAAATTAATAAAAGAAAAAAATTTTGAAAAAGAAAAAATAAAAATTTTCTTTTTCTTTAAATTGTGATTAAAAATTTTATGCTTTGGAAACGGAAATAAATTGTGATAATTTTTTTTTTGACAAAATTTCGAATATTTTTAGAAAATTTTTTTATTTAATTTAAATCTTTATTATTTCTAAAAAAAATTTAAAAAAAAAAATCTAAACAAAATTTTAAAAATAAAATTGAAATTGAAAAAAAAACGAGAGGAACTTTAAACGTTACAAAAATGTTGAAAAAAGAGAAACCGATGTTATCAGTTGATGCCTTAATTCAGGCACAAAATAAAACACCATGGTTGCAAAATCAAAGAGCTTATATGGGTAAGAAATTATTTTTTTTTGAAAAATTTATTTTATTTTGAATAAAATTGGAAAACTATTTAAAAACGAAGTTGTAAGAATGCTTTATATTGCAAAGAAATGAAAAATATAAATTACAAAAAAATTAAAATCCAGGTTTTCGAGGTACTCGTAGACCGTCAAATGTAAAATCTTTTCCAGTTTTTTTTTAAATTGGGAATTTGATTCTTATCCGATTGCGAATGAATACATAAAAAGAAATTATATTTTCGAGTTCGACTCTGTCTTCAACTTTTAAATTTGGTTAAATTTGCTTTATGGACTAATTTTATTTAAACCCGGATCAGGTGTGCCAATTTTTTAAAGATTGTATCAAAATTTCAAATCTGTTTTAATTTTTATGCTACCCTAACGTAGTTTAGAATTCATTTAGGAAGTATCGAACTGCGAGAATTCATTGCAAAATAATACAAAATTTTGTGATTTCTTTACAAGATAATTTGAAATATTTAAGTTATCGCACTATTCTGCAAATGCCTGTGCTATTAACTATTATTTTTAATGAAAAAAATTAATAGTTCGTTTAATAATATGAAAATTAAGCAAGAGTCCAAAATCGTACACATAAACTTTCGATTCTTGTTTAAAAATTTAAACCTTAATTAAATTAAACTTTAAAATTATTATTTAATGATCTATAAAAAAATTATAGAGATCTCAATTCTCATGATCTTCACAATTCACATCTTAAAGAAACGAAAAGAAAAACAAAACAAAAAAATTATTAAAACTCAAGGTCTTTTTTCGCAGTCTTTGTTTCTCTCTATTTTTCCAAAAAAAAAAAAAAAAAAAACAAAAAAAGGTCGAAAAAGTGCCAATTCTCAACGTATATAGGAAAAAAAATATATAGGTATAATAATAACAAGCAAAAGTGTTTCAGTCGATCTCAACCGACAGAAGTATGTATACCCTACAGGAAAGGCCTATGCGATGAAAAACTTATTATAGAAACTAGTTTTTGAAATATTTAAAATTATATTTTAGGTATAAAACAACAAGATCTCAACCATAACTGAACACATAATTGCCAAACTTCGTTCAACTAGATTTATTTTTCTTTCGAAATTGTTCAACTACAATAGCAGCTCCCGTTGCCAAAAAAAAACAATTACTGAAAGCTTTAGCGGTCTTTTCTCTTTTCGTTTTATATTATCGTACGATCGAACATCTTGTGTAAATGTCAGCGCAGATAAGCAATATGTACATGTTCAGGCTGTATGTGACTGCATCAAGTAGGCTGAAACTACGTATCTACAAAATAGAAAAGGTTATGTAGGGTATAAAAATTGTAACTCTTTACGCACTTCTTTTTTCTCTTTGTTCTTATTTTTATTTAACTTTTTGAACTTTTAGGTTAATGGTGAATTTTGTTTTGCAAGAGAACACATTTTTTTTTCCAAAAATGAAATAATCACAACACAAACACAACAATAGAAAATTTTGTATAATTGAACAATAACAAAAAAAGTAGAACTATAATGAGTGTGAGGGGTAAGAATGTAACTAGAAAGAGTCAAGTATGAATATCAAAAGTAAAAAAAGCTAAAGTTAAAAAGTTGAAGAGTAAATTATCAAAAAAAAAAACACAAAAAACCGGTAACCAGTTTTCTATATTTTTTTTTGTTATTCACTATTTTTTCTTTTTTTTTTATGACGAACTCATAAAATACGGCAAACCTATGTAAAAAATTTCTTAAGTAGCTTTTAATAGAAATTCCCCGTGACTCCGTGTTTTATTCATTATGAATTGCTAAATTTAACCAGTTTTTTTTTTTTTCTTAGAGACGAGTTTACAAAGCAATAAGAAAACCAAAAACAAAATATTAAAAAGCCAAAAGCGAGGAAACTAAGAAAGAAGAAAAGAAAATGAAAATTTAAAAATATTTTAAAAATTTTTTAAACGATTATTATTTTTGTTATTACTTACTTAGCCTTATATATTAAATATGCGTACACTTACTATACTTACAGTTCACGTAATACACATTCATGCATATAATTTAATATAATTAAATTTTTTTATGACCGGTATTTAATTAACAATTATCAAACTAGGAGAGAAAACGCAAAGAAAGAAATACTCAAATAATTATTAAAACTAGATTGATAGATTCGAAATTGCACGAAAGCGAATTATAACTTTCCACTGCATTTTTAGATTTAAGAAAAAGATCCGTAAAAGACGACAGTTGAATACATACTGAGAAAAGCTTTCTTACAAATCTATATAGTTTTAGGTAGTGAACCGTAAGTCTGCCCATCTCCTCTTGTGGAAATGAATTAATTTCGTCCACCAGATATTCTACTTTGAATTGGATGGAACACGCAATTGGACGTTACTTGACAGAGCTCTGTTTCTCTCATTATAATGTATTTCCCCTTTTTGCAATTCCTTTTCCCTCCACATTCAATGGTTTTGTATTGTTTTACCATATCAATGAGAGTGATGACTTAGGGGAATTAGGGTAATCTCACTGTTCAGCTGAAAATTAGATTTTCTTCATTTCAGTGCTCGAGGTGTCTACTATTATTGATTATAAGTATTTTTGCCTTGGAAAAGGTTAATCTACGGACTCCCTGATCTATGCAAATCGAACAAATATTCTTACTTTCAGTACATTTTCTCTGCATGGTCTGGTAGGGAACTCATTGGATGCAAGGGAAGTGTCAGCTGGATGCTTCTTTTAGATCGAGGGGCATTAACTAACACACCACATAATGTCATCTACGGCTCACTGCGTCGACGTTATGTCGATGTGACGCCGAGTGGGTGCTTTGGTCGTATTTTACAGGATAGGCTCCGCCATAGCTGATAACACGCTCTATATCTCCGCTGTAAAAAGCTGTCCGCGAGGCGGGGTTTTTTCACCCCTTCTGTGGTCTGTTAAGGAGGATGATTTGACTGTTGTCCTCAGAGCCTCTGGGATCGAAGTGAGCGAGCCACACTGATGATGTGATGGCCTTTGTCCTTGGAAAATTCGGGAGCATGACCCCTGAATATTCTACAACAAAATTTAAAGATTGTGTAGCAAAGCAGTGCAGCTAAATATGAATCCTAGCAAGAGCACTTTGATTGCCTTCACAAAACGAGTCCCACTCTGTTTGGCAAATACGTTGCGTATTCCAGGATGGTTAAGAATTCAACAGTTGAAAATTCAATTTAGACAGGACAATCGAAAGAGCAATCGAAGGCCTTGTGGACGTGTAAAAGTTTCGTTGAAAATACATGGGCATTAGTTCTAGTCAACTTCGATCGTGGATACGACGTAGTGTTTTCTAATCGACGTGTATGGAGGGAGCGTGGTTCAATTTTTAAGATTAGTTCTGGTGTATGGTACATTGATGGGTCCAAAGCAGATGTGGGCGTGTACGGAGTACGGCCGTACGGTGTTTCAGCCTGAAATACATGCAATAGAGATCTGCCTGAAAGTGGGCTTAGAAAAGGTTTAAAAAAAATCAGGCCAACCTGGTTTGGTGCTGTGTGGTCGTACTGGTGGAACTGACGTCAATACACACTAAACATTTATTTAGGTGCTGGAATACAGTGTACATGGGGGTAATGTGATTGCGGAGGAAATCTGAGATAACCTTCGTTACGTCCGTCCCTTCTGTTAACAGTCAATGTCTGGTATAAGGGGCAGACTTGCTGTTCTGCTTGAGAAGAGGTCGAATTTCATGTGGGGTCGAGTCATCATGTCCTTCCATCTTGTACAAGAAAATTCTATTCCTTTACTGGCTTCTTTACTGGGTAATTGTTCGGTGAAGTATCACTTGCAGAAATTGGACAAATAGAACTCCCCCCTGTGTAGATTCTTCCAGGACAATAAGGGGACGGCCATGCATATTCCTCAACTCCATGGGGGCTATCTGTGTATTTACTTGGGACCGCTGTAGTATAAGTGATATGTGGGACGGCTGCAATAAGTCATGGCTGTATGTGGTAATCGGATGGGAGATGCTCCTTTCTCTCTCTCTTCAACATATCTCTCTTATATCTCTCTTCAACAATCTATAAGTATGTATTAAGCAACCATTATAACTGCAATATTTTCATAGTATTGCCAACTTCTGCAATACTTTGAAATTTAACGTACTTCGATTTTAGTTTTTTCTTCTTGGTATAAAAATAAATTTTCAATAATTTTTTCAATAAAATTTAATATCAGGGGGTTGTTACAATAATTACACCGCTTTGATATTTCTTCTTATAGGCAACACGTTAATAAATTATGGCGTTAAAATAAAAATAGCGATTGATAAGACCCCCAAAGGCATAAGATATGCAAGGAAAGTAAAAAGAGTGTTGAAATTGTACTTCTCTTTCAAATTTAAATAAAATTTAAAATTCTTTTTAAGATGCAGAAATTGTCTTTCAGAAATTTTGCTACTAAATATTTTATTAAACAAAATAATTTAAGAATAAATTTTTTACTCCTTTTTTTTGTATTGCCTTCTTCATACATTTATATTTTATGAATTTTTAAAAATTCTGCGCATTCTTCATAAAATTTTTTATTTTTTGTATAATGTTAAAAATACAAAAGTATTAATGTATGCAGAGTGATAAGAATATAAAAAAAATTTTGTTCAAATTCTAAGCATGAAATCCCATTTTTATTTAATGACATTCTAATTTAACATTCTTTGCAAGTACATTAAAAAAGTACATTGGCGAAAGAAAAACAGGTTTTAAATTTTTATTATGTAAAAAAATATAAAAATGAATGACAGCAAACACCTCATTAGAAAAATTAATTTTAAAGATCAAAAATTAAACTTTATGACAAACTGAAACAATTTTTTAGTAGTAAGAAGAATGAGGTTGTCATTTGTTAAAAACACCCATTTATTTTATATGGTGATAAATGGTAAACTTTAGAATTGATTAAAACTTTTTATACAAAATTAATTGAGCCTAAATTTTGATTTTTTAGAAGTTCATATATTTAAATGTTGTGCAA